GAGATTGAAATTCTGAGGGGGTTTTTCTTGACAGTTCTGGCGGCCAGTCTGAAATTCAGCTAGAAGCATCTGCCGAAAAACCGATCCGGTAGCGACAAAAACCTGCGGGGAACTCTGCAAAAAATGCATCTTCGCACGGACAGCCCGTGCGTTGGCCATTTATTTACTGTGGTATTTGGCGCATTTTTTCACGTGGTAGTGTCTTGTGCGTCCCTCATCCGACGGAGATTTTGACAACTTACATTGTCGCGAAAAAACATGCCACGCATTTTTCATTCGACCGTCTACCCGTCACAGCCAAAATTAACTCTTCTGTTTAGTCAGTGACCAACTTTTTTTCCGTACGTTAATGCCTCCAGGCGTTGAAGAGATGGGTTACGGCCTTTCCTGCTCGAATTGAAAGCACAGACGGCGCTGCGCAATTTGCGCCATCCAGCAGCTCCTTTGCATGCAATTTTCGTCCAGGATTTCGCCGTGCATATTCCCTTCATGTCGAGGAAGGACATAGCCGTCATTTTCTTCCAAGTCAATACGATCTGTATAATCCATGCTTATATAAGAAAATCTGAAGCTATGTATTAAAAATGTAAATCGAATTTGAGTCTAAAACCGCTGAGGTCAAGAAGTAAAGAGATATGTTCGTTTCAGGCCTCAGGGCCCGTACACGACCTACACCCCATTCCCTAGCTTATTCAATTATGCGCTCACACGCACACACACACACCCACACACACGGACACATACACACCCACACACATGCATACACAGATGAATCAAGCTGAATCCCAGAAGATACTTTTGAATCGTTCGCATCATCATGCATTTCTCCGGTTTCAGGTGCAGAAACTCACATTGCCAACCTGAATAGCAGTTGTTTAGCAGCTGGCAACGTGGGTGGCCTAGCGATGTGGGTGGCCAGCGCGTAATGTAGCATCCTGCAATTAAAAGTCCAAACACACTGTCACTGTGGCATTTGGACGCATCCGAGCAAGCGTCTTGGGTGGTCACAGGACGCAGCTCGTTTGAACATGATGCGCCACATTTTTCGTGAAGAGAAGCTTTGCACAATTGGCCCTGCACATTCACAGTTCGAAAGTGGACAGCGTTATGCGCCGAATGTCCACTACATAGCGTAGGATAAAGTAACAGTTCCAGGCCTTCCCTTCCAGTTAAAAACAGAAAAATGAGTTCATATTCCAAAATTTTATTTCACCATATTGTACAGTTCTTTTAAATCAGCCTGAAATTTTTACATTTTTCGGGCTATAACTTCAGAACAACACTGGGGTCATTGCTCTAGAACCGAACTCTCCAAATGCCTGGCATTTACACGACTGCAAAAGGCGGAGTCAAAAAATCACGTCGAAAAAAATACTGTGGTAAAACTAAAAATGTAAAGCGATGGAAAACACAAAACTGAAACACCAGCTCGGTTGAGTGAAACTAAATCAGAAGTTACCTAGTTTGTCAGGAGTTCGGTACGTCACTGATTGAGCATAACATTACGGATCTATCATTCGGAAGGTAGAACTCCTCACTGCCACAAGCACCTATCTAATTATTATTACGCCAAAAGATACAGTTAAAGGACAACGGTGAGGAACTCGTCAGAAAATACATTTTGGTTTTTTTGGCAAATATTCAGAAAACACACTTTAGGATTCAATACTAGCTGTTTAGAGGCTTTTCCGCCCTTTTTTCTCTGCAAATGTGCAAAATATATTTTTCTATTCAGTCCAGACTTTATAAAATATCGCTTTGCTCCACAGCATAGCACAGGAATTATCAAAAATCAAGGAATATGTGCCAGCCTCATCACACTTCATTGATCCGTATTCGGGCGTGTAATCCGTTGTTGTTCGGAAGCACGGCCATTCCTAAATAACCCTTTCATATGTTTTATAAAGCTCATTACTCGTAAAAAAGGTTGCTCGGGGAATAAAGGTCAACCCGAAATCGTTCCTGAATAAATCGGTTCCTATTGTCGTTCCCGGTCCATCATCTTCCTAAATGGCCGCATTCCTAAGCACTCAGATGCGAAGGATCACAATTCACGTTTGATATTGTTGAAAAATAATTATTTAGACAGTTAATCACTTGGTTCCTTTACCAAATATTCCGAAAAAGGATGAACCCAGATGAAAGTTAGAAGGGCCTTACCGTGCATCACTCCACTATGTTACTTAACGCTGACATCTAGAAATATCAGGGAATGATAAGGGCAGAAGCAGTTTGTGTTTCTTCCCTTATCTTCTCCCTTAGCTGCGAAAAAGTCTGTCCTAAAGAGAGGCAGTACTTCGGTTAATTGGCCAATTGGCTATTTGGGTACACCGAGGATAGTCT